AAAAAAAAAAAAAATGGAATGTGTACATCTTCAATTAATATTCCAAAGTTTTGTAATTTCTAGTAAGATTCATTCACTCAAAAAATGTGTTCAAACACACCAGTTCATAAATGTAACATCAGAAGTATTCCTGAACAATTCTGATACAGAGGCGAAATGGAACACTACTACAAATAATAAAAATATGAATAAATAAATAAAGACCAGAAAGAAAATGAAAAAAAAAAAAACTGTAAAAGTTGTTTCTTAGTGAAATCGCACTTTCTCTCATACTCTTTTCTCCACATTCACTCACAGCTTGAAGACTTTTTACTCTTAAGCTTCCACTCAGTCGGGTAAACTTTTCTCCCTCCTGCTATGCAGGCCTGATCCTGTACCTCAGATGTCTACCTTAATCAGGAACCACCTGCTTACATTACCGGTGTTCAAAGGGCCTAGAGCTGGGCTTCATATGTGCATATGTTTTTTGTAATGAGTATCTGGATGCGGGATCTAAAGATCCAGAAGGGAATCTAGGCCAGTGCTCCAATGAATGACAATATGATTGAAAACACCTACGTTACAGGATTGTTACCGAATTAAAGTTAATAGTCACTAACCTAAGGCATCATGGGTGGATTGTTTTAGTTTTTGAGTTGTGGTTCTCCAAAATCGTTTTTTTCTCAGCAGCTGATTATAGCAAAGTGGACTCATGACTGACAAAGAAGTTATCATGACTTCATGCACAATCTCACACTTCACTGTAATGTGGCAGCATTCTTGCACATCTCAAAATGCGCTTCTTGGCAAGATACAAATACAAACATAGTCAGCTATGCCTTACTGTAAGTGAATATAAACAACACTTTAGCTGTCTCTTATGTACTTCTTTCTTTTACCCTATTCTGTGCTGAAAATGTTTCTGTAATTTAGAAAGTGTAAATTTGGTGGGCTACAGATATTTTACAACAGGTTATGAACATTTGAGTGTGTGTTACACACATAATCATCTTCTATACTTACAAAGAGTATACAACTGTTCAAAATTTAGGGGTCAAAAAAATGTAAATAAATAAATACATATTTTTTTATATTTTGAAAAGTATATTATTCTTCTCAAGGCTGCATTTATTTGATTTAAAATACAGCAAAAACTGTAAATTTGTGAAATATTATTAATATTTAAATAAACTTTTTCTATTTTTAAATACTTTTAAATGTAATTCATTCCTGTAGTGGCAAACTTGAATTTTCAGCAGCCATTACTCCAGTCTTCAGTGTCACATGATCTTTCAGATTTGCTTATTTGCTGCTCTAAAACTGTATTATTTTCAATGTTGAAAACAGTTGTGCTGCTTAGTGTTTTTGTGGAAACCATGATCCATTTTTTCAGGATGTATGAATAGAAAGTTCATTTATTTTAAATAAAAATATTTGTAACATTATACATGTCTTTACTGTCACCTATGATCAATTTAATGCATCCTCGATGAATAGTATAAATTAAAAAAAAAGAAAAATAATTTTTTCAATAAATTAATACTGAATGTGTAAATCTTCAATTATTTTACCAAAGTTTATGCAATATCTATAAACTCAGATGCCAAATGAATTGAAAAGTTTGCAAAGTTTAAGAACTTTGTGACTGTTTTAGATCCATAATTAATATTTGAGAAATTTATATCATTTTTCTGGGTAATATATTATGATCCCTCTAGTCTGTGTGTTTGTTTTTTCTCATTAAAAGTGAGATAATACAGTCTGACTTGCACAACAATGTCTGGATCACACATTAAGACTCATTCTGAAGTCATTAGCTTTTAATGTAATGCGGCGTCTCAATATTTTATAGTCTCAATTTTAGCATTTTAGCGTGATTGATGTGCAACATTTAAAGACTTTTCAAAGGAGAAGCTTTTCTGACTTTAATAATAGATGTGCGGCAGGCTCACCGGCCTTTGATTTTGTTAAGAAAGTCATGAAACATGAAACTGATAACTGAGTGTGTGATGTCTGCACCTTTTCCTTTCATCATCCTATTAAACTGTCATTTTGTTTTTAACAACTCTTTCATCCTTTCAAATGTTCACTCCCTTCGTTTTCTCTTATCCCTTTTCTTTCCACAGTAAACATGACGAGCGCTACATCTCCAATCTTGCTAAAATGGGACCCCAAGAGTCTTGAGATTCGCACGCTGACTGTGGAGAGGTTGTTGGAGCCGTTGGTCACACAGGTAATGTCTTCTTATTTATAAAACGGATAGTTCCGGTCCTTGATTCTGATTGGTTGAGCCACGTTCGAAGCTATTGTAAATTACACTACAAACATACACCTTTGTTTACTTCTGTGTGTTGCTCGGCAACCACTTTGTTGGAACCACAACTGTTTCTGATGAACTACATTGTTTGGTGGAAGAATACTGTTTTTATTTATATCATTACACTTTATTTGCTCTGTTTTATTCTGTGAAACCTTACTACAAACATGGAATAACCGTTTTATAAAAGCATTAAGCCCCGTGAAGCCGTGGTTTACAGTGAATTTATAACAGCTAAGGGGCGTTGTTAGGCACGATGCGAAGCGGAGTGCCTAAAACTCCCTTAGCAGTTATAAATTCACTGTAAACCACGGCTTCTTGGGGCTTATTGCTTTATTATTTACCCTGCTTGCAGTTTCTTCTTAGCAAGTCCAGTCACTTATGTACAGATTCCACTGAAACTGGGCAATTCATTGATCTGGCCAAAATATCGGTCTGTCACGAGTTAAATGTTGTCAAAATCTCCTGTTGAGCTTCACTAATCAAGTAGCCTATTTAGCATTTAAAATCATTAATGGTATTAATGGTATGTTTGCTTCAGTTTTCTGCTTTCAAGCACTGGGATTTTGGTCTAGTATTGGCTGATTACTGGACAGTGTAGAAACCAAAACTGTTTGAAGGCCTTGTCAGAGAAGTGCAAGCTGAATATAGGTTGTACTCAGTTGCTGGATGCTACACTGTACATTGTCTCCAGAACTCCAGAGCTCACAGCAGGAATCACATTTTAGACTTGCTTTTTATTTGTTCTCTTGTGCCTAGGGTATATCTTGTTGTTTTTTGGGCTTAGAATACTGGGCAAAGTTTGCAAATGAACAAACAAGCAAACTTCTTTGACATTAGTCAAAAGTTTGGACACACCTACTCAGTCTCTGTTTTTGCTATTTTTCACATGTTAGGATAATAGTCATCAAAACACAACCTAGGAATTATGTAGTGACCAAAATAAAGAATGAAAAGTTCAGTCGAGTGTGTCCAATCATGTTTTACTGGTTGTATATCTGCCATGTACTAAGAGGGGCAACTTACACAACCATTCAAAAGTTTGGGGTCAGGAAGAATGTATTAATATTTTTTAAAGAAATTAATACTTTTATTCAGCAGTGATGCATTAAATTACAGTAGACTTTTGCATTGAAAATGAGTTTCAAGTAATTGCTGTTCTGTTGAACTTTCTATTTATCAAACAATCCTGAAAAAAAGATGATGATGGTTTCCACTAAAATAATATGCTGTATATAAGTGTTCAAAATTAATAATACTAAAAATGTTTATTGAACACCAAATCAGCATATTAGACTGATTTCTGAAGGATCACGTGACACTAATTCCTGATATTTATTTAACTTTTAAAATATATAAAATACATATTAATTATTATAAATTACAATAATATTTCAAAATATTATAGTTTTAATTGCATTTAAAGGGGTCATATGATGTTGCTAAAAAGAACATTATTTTGTGTATTTTGGTGTAATGAAATGTGTTTATGCGGTTTAAGGTTCAAAAAACACATTATTTTCCACATACTGTACATTATTGTTTCTCCTCTATGCCCCGCCTTTCTGAAACACATCGATTTTTACAAAGCTCATCGGTCTGAAAAGCGAGGTGTGTTCTGATTGGCCAGCTATCCAGTGCGTTGTGATTGGCGGAATACCTCAAGCGTGTGACAGAAATGTTACACCCCTTACCATATTGTGATGCCCTGTCCGGCCGGAGCGATGATTCAAAAAACATGAAAACCCATTATAAACAAGGCATTTGTTGCATCTAGTGGAGACATAATTACGGATTATAATGACTTATACTGTCTTTTTACGCGTTGCATCGCGCCGCGTAAACATAAAACCATGTCCGCATTTGTGATCGGAGAAATGACAAACAGCAAGCGCTACTCTACACTGCTCAAAACTTGCGTTTGAATCATCAGTGGCAAATGAAAACGT